TTGAAAAGCCGTTTTTACTTAACATGTAATTAATTCTGAATTAATTAAAAACTATTTCGGTAAAACTATTTTTTTAGTAATTTTTTTTCCAATTTATATTTTTAACATAAGTATTGTTTGCCAAAAATATTTTTAATATATAAAACAATTTTAGAAAAGCCATTTTATAATACGGCTTTACGAAAACTGTTTTCACCAAATATATATATATATTTTTGTTGGTTTTGTTTTGGGTTAAAAGTGATATGCTCCAACAGCCCAAAACACACACATGCCATAGTTCAACAAACAACGACGAATAGAAAGACGTGAAGAGCACTGCGGAGGAGGTGAAGAAGACGAAGGCCACCATCCAAAACACACACACGCTGCAATTCAACAAACAACGATAAAGAGAGATGCAAAGAGCATTGCAGAGGAGGCAAAGAAGACGAAGGCCACCACAAGAGCTATAGCAAGAACAAAGAAGACAAAGACCTAAAAACATCCTCACACCTCTCCCTTCTATCATCCGCAATGAGGTTCGTTTTGCATAAATTAGGGTTTTCATTTTTGATTGAGGATTTTGAAGTTCAAAATCAGGTTTGTTTGGGACTCCATACATTGACAGCAGATTCTTTATGTTGTCCTGTCTGAGATTGTAGTTGTATTGTACCTGGGCCCTCATCCCATGAACCCCAATCAACGTTTGTTTTGGACTGAGATAGGTGTTATGCTTCTTGTGGTATAGTAGAGAGTTTATCCTGTGTTTGTGCTGTATTGGCCCTCTTATCGGGCGACCGACTTTCCTTTTTATTTCAACCCTCAATTTTTTATTTTTGTGAAGCATCCATTCCTTCCCAGAGCTGTGGTGTCAGCGGACCACCCATTTTCCTTTAAGATTGTTTTTTCAACCCCCAAATGTTGTTTTTTGTGAACCCCCCATTGCTTGACTTCCTATCAGTGTGGTCCTTATTCTGACTGGAGTTCTAGGAATTGAATAGTGACTCTTATTGTTATCCTGATGGAGAGCCCCAGTGAAGGAAAGTTTTTGACGGAGCTGCCCATTCTATTTCCTGTGCCTTTATTGTGGGCACTTTGTCTGTCTGAACTTTATTGGTCCCCCAACTGGATCAACCATTTGCCTTTGAGCTTGTTTCTCCAGCCCCCAAGTTTAGTTTTCTATCAACCCTCCTTCCTTACCAGAGTCGTCGTCTTCATTGGACTTCTCGGAATTGAATGGTGACTCTATTTTCTTGAGTTTCAGAGATTGAAATTATTTACCTAGACCATCACTATTTGAAGAAGCCTAGTTAAGGGAAGCTCTTGACTGAGCTACCTGTTCTGTTTTCTGTGTTGTTGAACAGGGCACGCCATTTGTTTGAACTGCATTACCCCCCCCAATTGGACCAACCACTTGTATTTGAGATTGTCTTACCAACTCCCAAATTATGTTTTATGCCAACTGTGATAACCCTGTCCCGTGTTATGTTAATTAATCTTAATTATGATTGTGATTATGTGCTTAATATGATTTTGAAAGCCATTTATATGATTATATGTGTTTCCGCATTTCTATCTGTTCACCATAGGAAAATCTGTTTGATTCTCTGCTATAAAATTTAAGTAAAGACCATAAAGGCGTCAAAAAGCTAAATTGATTGTATTTTTATGCTTAGCATGATTTTTAGAGTCCATGATTAAGTTTAATTAAAAATTGAATCGGATCAAATTACTGGATTAAAGTAATTAAATTAGACTCAATTGGTTTACCTTAATTAAGATGGATTAGTCTAAAATAACCACTTAGTATATATAAGTGCCAAACACACTTAAGTTCACATTATGAGCTCAAAATCTAAAGTTACACTCTAGAGAGAGAGAGACAGCTCTAGTGAGAGAGTGAAGGCAAAATTTGACGAATTGGGAAAGGAGCTTGAAGATTGAGGAAGATAACTCAAGAACTAGCAAGGAATTGGAAGATTAGAGCTCCTAGGTAAGTAATGAACTCAATTTCTTGGGTTTAAGCTCATAATTGCATGAATTCTAGCATGGTATGTAACCAAGAACAAGAATTGAGCTAAATATGATGAAATTGAAGTTTGTATCAACATACATGTGAGCTTTATAGATATTTGAGCTTTTGGCATGTTAAGTATGTAAACATTAAGTGTCAAGTTACTCATGCATGCATGGTTTTGTTGAGCCTTATGACCTTGAGCATCATTTGTATCATTCGAAGTGGAATTGGAGTAAAAATTTTACATGCATACATGATTTATGAAGATTGGAGACCTAGTCGCATGAGTTTTGAAATTTCAAAAGAATTTGTCATGATTTGAAATATGAATCATGATTTTTGGACAATTGGTTTCAAATTACCCATGTTTACATACTAGGCAATGTTTTTTCATATTTTAGTACAAGAATTGTAAGCTTTGGGCCTTTGAGAGTGTGATTTGAGCTTTAAACAGAGTTCTGAAAAATCCAGAATTCGGCTTGTCCGCTCGAGCGAGGAAAGTGTCGATTGAGCGTGAAAGTCGAGCTCCTAGAAGTTTTGCAGAAATTGCACAGTGGTTCGAGCAATCGAAGCTACGCTCAAGCGTACCTTGTTTTGCAAGACTCCTCGCTCGAGCTCGAGCGTCAAAAGACTCGCTCGAGCGTAAATTGTAAGCAACCAATACTTTTGTAGACCAAAGGGGGCCGCTCAAGCAACCAAAGCTGCACTCGAGCGGAGAGCCCTGCCTAAGAGAAATAAACAATTTGAGAATGGATTGAGTCGCTTGTAACCCGATATGTTGTAAATTGTGTAGGGCCCAACGCAAAAGCGAATCCATCAGCAGAACATTGTGAGTAATACCTTAATAAGAATGTATTTAAGTATGCTACTTTCTAAATGCTCACTTACGTATGAGTTCTACAGAATTGTTAAATTGAATTAGATATTCGTCATGCCAATGATTGGATAAAGCCGTTGGAATATGATAATGATTACGACATGCTTATGATTTCAAGTATGAAATGCACATAACATGAATGATTGGGCCAAAAGCCGTTGGACATAAATGAATGGGTCAAAGGCCGTTTGACATGGATGAATTTGGCCCGAGGCCGTTTGATAAAAAAATGAATTGAGCCCGAGGCCATTTGATATGTTTGGGCCTGAGGCCGTTTGATGTACTAGACAGAAACATGAACAGGCCTAAGGTCGTTGGATATGTCTGTTACGAATTTCATTCATGTAATTTCTTTATTTTGATATTATTTACTGGGTTTTCGCTCACTCTCATTTATGTGTATGTTGGTGGGAAAGAGAGATCCAAACCCAGCCTCAGTGAAGAATGTGAGAGGAAGTCAGTTTGAAGAGTCAGCCTGAATGTGTCATGCACGAGACTTTGTTTTTGTTCTTCTGATCTTTTGTTTACTTTTCTGCTATTTTAGTGAACACATTGGATCACCTATGTACATAAGTTTTGTTTGGCTGGCTGCATATTTGAAAGTTCCTGGGTGAATATATGATGTTAACTCTATGCATATGTTGTGAGTTATTATAGACTACTTCTGAAGTGTTTTGCTTTGCCATGTAAGCATAGTTCATTGGACAAAAATTTTTAAATCTGCTTCCGTTTGGCCCCTCATTTCTATTAAAATATGTTTAATCAGGTTCGAGACCGCAGGTAATCTCATAATTACTTGCCGGTTATGACCTTATCCATAGGGGCGAGATCGGGTTATGACACCAACCACCTATTCTTTCCTATCATTGTGGTCATTATTCTTACTCGACTTCTTCCAAGAATCACTTGGTGAATATTTCAGCCATCTTGTCTGTGACTGTAATTCAACTTTACTCTGGCCATTTTCATTCGAAGGACCCCATCTCCCTCTACTGGTCCCCCAACAATTTCCTTTGACATCGTGTCATCCCATAAATTCTATTTTTTATGAACAGCCCACTCCTTACTACCATTGGACTCACTTAAATCCGAAAAGAAACGAAAAATTAAATAGAAAATATTCTCCAGAAAATGCTTTTCGTAAAGTCGTTTTATAAAAACAGTTTTTGTAAAGCCGTATTATAAAACGGCTTTTCTAAAACCGTTTTATCTATTAAAAATATTTTTAGCAAATAATATTTATGTTAAATTGGAAAAAAAATTACTAAAGACTCATTTTACCAAAACCGTTTTTAATTAACTCAGAATTAATTACACGTTAAGTAAAAATAGCTTTTGAAAAGTCAGTTTTGTATAGGGAAATTTTATTATTTTTTTATTCACAAAAAATGGTATTGGTAAAGCCTTTTTTTCCATAAAACAACATTGGTAAAGCGGTTTTACCTTACAATAAGGCCTCATTTGAGAATATTTTTTTTAGCAACTTTTTAAATTTTTGACTAAAATATGATGTAAAAAAATTAATATGTTTGAAATGAATTTCAGTTTTTTACAAAAAGACGTGTAAAAAAAAAAAAATTAACTTTTTAATATAAATTATTAATTTTTTAACTTTTTTTAATATTTTTTTTAAATTTTAGACCAAAATCTGATGTTGGCAAATAACGCCTAAAAATAAAAATAAAAACCAACCCGAGAATGAGAATAAAGTTATCAAATTGGCACAATCACGGAAATTGGCCCTTTCTTCTTGTGTTTCTTGCCTACTTACCCAAATTGTCTTTCTTATTATCCCGTTTCTTTCTTTTACATTGTCACAGTCAAACGACTCGGCTTTCATTCTTGGATTCCTCGCACAAGTCAACTTTACATGTCCATTTTTGATGTAAAAAAATTAATATATTTGAAATGAATTTTAGTTTTTTACAAAAAGACGTGTAAAAATAAAAATAAAAATTAACTTTTTAATATAAATTGTTAATTTTTTAACTTTTTTTAATATTTTTTTTAAATTTTAGACCAAAATTTCATGTTGGCAAATAACGCCTAAAAATAAAAATAAAAACCAACCCGAGAATGAGAATAAAGTTATCAAATTGGCACAATCACGGAAATTGGCCCTTTCTTCTTGTGTTTCTTGCCTACTTCTTACCCAAATTGTCTTTCTTATTATCCCGTTTCTTTCTTTTACATTGTCACAGTCGAACGACTCGGCGTTCATTCTTGGATTCCTCGCACAAGTCAACTTTACATGTCCATTTTTTCTTTATCTTACTTATTATCTCATGGCTTCTTTGTCAAATCTTGCAAGTGGGTAGAATATTGCAGAAAACCCCAACCTCCTGCTACTAATTCAATTCTGCTTACACTCCCAAATGTATATATGTGAAGGATTGGTGAAGGAGATGGGATTTCAACTTTGAAGAAGTGCATAAGATAACATATGGGTTTGGTAAGGCTTTTTCTGGGTTCTGTTCTTGGTGTGTTGGGTTTGTTAGTAAATGCAGTGGTTTTGTGTAATGGAGGAACCACAAGTGCTTTCGTGAGGCAAGTTGAGAAAACTGTTGATATGCCCCTTGAAAGTGATGTCTTCCATGTGCCTCCTGGTCATAATGCCCCTCAACAGGTCTGTCTTTGTTCTCTGTTTATCTCACTTGCTCGTCACAATCTCATTTGAGTTGTGTTGTGATTGGTTGATTTTAAATGAAAGAATTTGGAACTACTATTCATTTAAGGAGAATAGCTCAAAATTTTTTTTTAACCTCAATCACCTTCATTTGAAATTGATTCATCCAAATGGAGCCTTATTGATTACTTTCAATCATCTGTGTGCTTTTTGTAATTTGAATTATCATTGAATTGGAATTGTTCTTCTTGGGGTGGGGTGGATGAGTGGAAATGGTTCCTATCTTCAGTTTTTTTGGGGGACATTTTTAATTTTTTTTTTTCCCTAGTAGATTCCACAGCTCTCCCCCTATATATAGTTTTGATCTTCTTTACTCTTAATTTGCCTTTTCTTGTTGAAAAATTTAGTGGATTGTGTTTTTGATCTGTAATAGGTTCATATAACACAAGGAGATCATGAAGGGAAGGGGCTGATAGTGTCATGGGTTACCATGGATGATCCTGGTTCAAGTACAGTCCTATATTGGAGTGAGAATAGCAAGCACAAGAACAAGGCCAAGGGCACTGTTGTTACCTACAAATTCTACAATTATACTTCTGGTTACATTCACCACTGCACCATTAAAAATTTGGAGGTGTGTTTTAAATCATTTTGATATTCTTGTTCCCTGGGCATTATTCCATTTTAATTACCCATTCATTTTTGTACTTCATTTGCTATATGGTCCAACGGTAAGGCTTGCCATTAGCGTCTTGGTGGAGCTGGTTTGAGTAACGGAAACAGCGTATCTAGAAATGGGGGTAAGGCTGCTCACAGTTTATCCTCCTTGCACCCCATTTTAGCTGGAGTCTTGTGCGCTTGGTCACCCTTTTTTAAAAGCTATATTTGTTGATTACATTGCATTTGCAAAGTTGTGTGTGAGATAATTAGGGTGTTGGGTATGTTGATGGAAATAAGGAATTAAAATTGAGAACAGAAATGATTCAATTTGTTGTTTTCTTGGCAGTTTGACACGAAATATTACTATGAAGTAGGGATTGAACACACAACAAGAACTTTCTGGTTTACAACTCCCCCTGAGGTTGGCCCGGATGTCCCATATACATTTGGTCTCATAGGTAAACTCTTCTTAATTGTACAATGGTGGTTGTAATGTCTTTCTAACAAATTTAGTGTTTGATATTTGGCATGTTTCGCACTTGTCCATACGCCTTTGGAAACTTTGGTTCCAATTCTGTTAGGCTTTTTAATACTCTTAATTGGATGGATAAATAAATAGCATAAGCAATGGGCCAACATTGGATGGATACAGAGAAACTATTTATCTAGAATTAGTTGCATGAGATGATTTTGAAAAAATGTGTGATGTAGAGTGGAGAAGGAGAAAGAAGGGAGAAGATGAACTCGAAGAATTTTTTTTACACAAGTAAAATGAATATTGTCTAATTTGATCAAAGAATCAGTTGGTGGTGGGTTGATAAGAGGCTCTTCTTTTGGTAAAAATAAAATCCTTTTCTGTGAGGGATGTGCTTGCCATCCAAAACCAGCTAATCTTGATTCCCAAATTGTTGAAAATATCTAATTTATCAAAAATAAATAAATAAAATTGTCGACAATATCTACCAAATATGAATTGAGCACACAAAGAAAATCTTCAACACCAATAAAATCAGCTGTTTCAAACTTGATTAAGTAATCAGTTGGTAGTGCAACAATGTGTATGTTCTTTTGTCCTAGCTTTTGTTTGAACAGTTCAAAAAATGCACACATTCGCTAAATGTTTTTGGGAAAAAGGGTGTATTTAAGAGAAACTAAATAAAACCATAACACATACACGTTTGTTACCTGTGTTTTGTTTTACATTTATCGTTTGTTGACTCTATTGATCAACCTTTGCAGGGGACCTGGGTCAGAGTTATGATTCAAACATGACTCTTACTCATTATGCATTGAACCCAACAAAAGGAAAAACAATGTTGTTTATGGGGGACCTCTCTTATGCCGATAACTATCCAAATCATGATAATGTCAGATGGGATACATGGGGAAGGTTCACTGAGAGAAGTGCAGCCTATCAACCTTGGATATGGACTGCAGGAAATCACGAGATTGATTTTGCACCTGAAATTGTAAGCATCACACAATATGTTAGGGAAAGTATTCACATTATGATTTATTTTTTATGTAATGAGAAATTTCATGGTCCATAAGTTATTCTCAGCACAAGTATTATTGACTTTTCATTCGTAGATTGAATTTTTTCTCATATGGAAGTTCTTACATCCAAGATATCTCCAATGGCATAAACCAAGTTTTATTCAGTAGGGTGAAGCATAAAATTAAACCTTATTTTGTACAATAAGATTTCGCTTTATGATTTATATTCCAAATCTTGTGCTTATGTTTTGCTAAGCTTCAAAATGTATTGAAGAGAAATGTAATGTGACAAAAGAGTTTTTTTTTTTTTTTTTGCAGGGTGAAACAAAACCCTTTAAGCCTTACACTCATCGTTATCGTGTCCCTTACAAAGCATCTAATAGTACCGCACCCTTTTGGTACTCAATCAAGAGAGCGTCAGCATACATCATCGTTCTGTCTTCATATTCGGCGTATGGTAAGGGTGTTTATAAATTTTCAATGTTTTATTACTGCAAATTATATCCCAAACCCATGCATGTGTAGTTGCTTAAAGTCCAACGCATAGATATGGATGATGTTTAACTAGAACATTGATCAAAACAGAATTCAATTAAGGGAAATGCTATTATGTTCTATTCAATGTAATGTTTCGTACATTTCTTGATTTTGTCTATCTACTGATCGCTTTTAGGCAAATACACTCCTCAATACAAATGGCTCGAGGCAGAGCTTCCAAAAGTAAGCAGGAGTGAGACGCCATGGTTGATTGTTCTTATGCATGCCCCATGGTATAATAGCTACAACTATCATTACATGGAAGGGGAAACTATGAGAGTGATGTACGAGCCGTGGTTTGTAAAGTACAAAGTTGATGTTGTGTTTGCTGGTCATGTCCATGCCTATGAACGATCAGTAAGAGCACTTTTATCATCCATAAATTCTTATAGAATTACTATTTTGGAGTTGCTGGTAGTGTTTCCTTTGAGAGATTCCTTCCCAACAATTACTAGTGTCCTGTTTTCCGACTTTGATAGGCACTTTAAGCTTCTGCTTCAGCAACAATTTTGTTCCACCTTAAATATCGCATAATCAATGAAATTATAATATAGTCAAAAGTGCAAGAATATTTTAGGGCTTAGTTTGATTAGAATGAAAGTGAGAGAAAGGGGAAAAAATGGAACAAATTCTGAGTTTGTTTAGCATGATAGTTGTAGAGAATCGACAAGGAAGTTAATTTTTTTGTATGACCCACATGGCAACTAAAATTTTAATGGGCACTCGGTTCAAAAGTTTAAATTTCAATTTTGTTTGTCCAAAAGTCCAGGTGCGTAAACACTTTGTCCATAAGGACAAACTTAGATAAAATGACCAAAATACCCTATGTATATATAAACCAAACCCTAACACAACTCTCACGCACAAACTGTCTCCCATCTCTCTCTTCCTTTCACTCACTCAGATTTCTCTCCTTTAATCTCGATCTGCCGTTGCTGCCCCGATCTGCCATTGATGATAGCCACCACCTGTCACTGCTGTGCTTCTCTCTCTCTCATGTCGCCGATCTCCCTCATCTCTCTTGCTCTCTCTTTCTTTCTCATCTTCTCTCTTGGAACCCTAGCACCGCCTTTGACAAAGATCAGCGACACCGAAGAGATCAGACCTTTCTTGTTTAGGTCAAAAGCTTCCTTCAACTCTTGAGCCCAAGTGTTGCCATTGCCATCACCATCACCATCGCCATCGCCTGCAGGGGAGCCCCACCATCTCCGCCACCAACCACCGCCTCATCATTCTTGATGATCTGGATCTTCTTTTTATGGTGTTGACGTCAGTGATTTGGATCTGGATCATCTTTTTTCTATTTTCTAAATCGGATCTTGATCGGCGATGGATCTTGATCGTCGCCGTCGCCACCACCTCTATCGTTGCCGTTGCCGTCGTCGCCAATATTTGTGACCACAAATCTGTAATGATCTTTGATCACTTTTTTCAAAAACTCTCTCTCTCTCTCACACACACACACACGCAAACACAAACACAAACACACATATATATGCATATATATTATAAAATTATATTGATTTGATTCACATAGTATATACAGAGAAACTTCCTTTTTCTTTTTCTTTTTCTTTTTCTTTTTTTTCCCACTAATTTTTCATTCTTCATTTTTTGTTTTGTTACAAAAAATGAACACTTAACTAGTCAGTTCTTGGTACTTCGTTTTGTATTGTATAGTATATGTATTGTGCTTTTCCTCTCTCTTTCTCTCTCTCCTCATATATATATATATATATATATATTGTGATGTTGGACAAATAGAGGGTGGAGATGCAGTTCTATATATATATTTTTCTCTTTATTATTTGTTGATTGTTGTTATTGTTGTTGTTGATGATGATGATGAAACAAATTGGTGATCCTCTGTCTTTGCTTTTTTTTTTTTGGTTCATTCCTACAGATAGACTGAAAAAGAGAAAGATGAAAAGTGAGAGAGATGTTATTGTTGTTGATGATGATTGCAATAGATATTTTTTTTTTCTTTTTCACCAGATAAATAGAGAAAAGAGAAGTGGAGAGAGAAACAACATAGAAAAATTGAACAGATAAGGGGAAAAAGTGAACAGATAGTCAAAAATTTGAACGGATAGATATAAATTTGAACAGATAGAAAAGAATTTGAATAAAAGATTTCAATAGATAGGAAAAAAAATTAAATAGATAGGGGTACAAAAATTTTGTACAGATAGGGAAAATTTTTGAACAAATAGTCAACGAAAGTCCACGGATAAAAAAAAGTCAATAGATAAATTAAGGGGTAAAATTGAAAACAAAATATCCTTCAAAACAAATAAAAGGATTTCTTATTAAACTATTTCACAAATGGTGCACTTCTCACCAATAAAAAATATCCACTAGACCTAATGTTTTATGCAATTACTATATTGGATTTATCACTAATTTTCTCAATTTTAATTTTTTGCCAAATATACAAAAAATACAAGAAATTTCGAAGTGCCCTATTTTTCTCTTATAAATTTCATTATAATCAAATGCTAGTAAGAAAATGTATTTTATTTTTCCTTTCTTTTCTTTCACTTTACTTTCCACCATTTGTTCTTTCTAATCAAGCGAAGGCAAGGGAAAAACTATATTTTCCCTTGAAATTTTTGGTTGACCTGATGATAGTTTGAAAATTTTGATTTATTTAATTGTTTTGGCATTCTCTCCATGTTTATGTAACACTCAATATTTCTAGTTGTTTGACAACTAATGTGTATACATCATAGGAACGCGTTTCCAACATTGCTTACAATATTGTAAATGGCATCTGCTCTCCTGTAAGAGACCCATCTGCCCCTGTATACATAACCATTGGCGATGGTGGAAATCTTGAAGGCTTAGCAACCAAGTAAGATCAATACATATACATACATATATATATATATACAATAGAATTGATTTTTCTTTGATATAATTGCCTCCAAATTTTGGCATAAGAAAATTAAATGCTTAAAATGCATTATTTTGTGGTGTTGCAGTATGACGGAGCCACAACCAACATACTCAGCTTTTCGCGAAGCTAGTTTTGGTCATGCCATTTTTGATATCAAGAACCGGACACATGCGTATTATAGTTGGCATCGTAATCAAGATGGGTATGCTGTTGAAGCTGATTCTTTATGGTTTTTCAACCGATTTTGGCATCCAGTCGATGATTCTACAAGCACCCAATGATGATGATATTAAGTCCAAGAAGAAAAAAGAAACCAACAAATAAGGAAAATTTGATGGATGATATAATACTGCTTTTGTTGTGTACTCTAGAATAAATACCCACCATTCATAGTCACTAAACATTTCAGGCTTGTTTTTGTTGAATCCTTCACTCATTTCATCTCTTTTTATGTGTTCACTTGTTCTACATTGTTTGCCAGTCTATTGATGCTTGTTATTGTGGAACCAGGGCCATAAATGAGCCAAACCCTAGGTGAATAATAGATTGTTCAAGTTTGGTTCAAATACTTTACAAGTTGTAAAACGTGTTCACATTTGATTTGTTTACATATAACGAGCCAATCTCAAACGAGTTGAACACAAGTCAAACCTCAAGTAGTTTTGTTTTTTATAGTACATATATACATATACATATACATACATATATATATATATATATATATATATCAAATTTTAACGAAGCGAATATGAGTCAAACTTGAATAGCTTGATTCATTTACAATCCCATGTTCAATTGAAAATTCTTGTAATTTTGGAGTTGGCACCAGCAAAGGATATGGAAAAATGAAGCAGCAGCAGCAGCTCGAACTACTTTCTTTTGAGTTGGTAACCTAAAATTGTGGAACTACGTTTGAGTTTGAGTTTGAGTTTGAGTTTAAAAACTTTCTAAGTTGGGTTTATTTACTTCTTAAGTGATGTTTCACACTGCTAAGTTGTGATGAGCTTAAGTCTACTGTAAATATATAGAAATGAATAAGATAAAATAATTAAGGAAGAAGAATATATAATCACAATCAAACCAGAAAAAAGAAAAAAAGGAAGAAGAATATAAAGAAAAGAAGGGTGAATTTTAGGTGGTTCAGCCATGAAAACCTATGTCCACGGGAGAAGATCACCAGCATTAATTTTTATTTTTAGTCTCTTATATAAATAAGCATAAATAAAATAATTATTCTTATGATCGATTCAACCTTTGATAGAAAAGATATATACATTGGTTATATTTCAACTCTTCAATAAGTTTAGTAATGAATATAACAATCCTATTGTTTGAATGGAGAGAAGAACCTGTGATTAGTTTTTCAAAAAAAAATTCAAATGAACGATTTCTATGATTCAGATCTTAAGTATTCTCTTATTTATTACTTGGGTCTACTATTTAGGCAAAACGCTGTCACTTATTCTTTCTAAGAAACTGATAAAAATTCTAAAAAATGGAAAAAAGGGTTTTCGAGATGAGTATGAATCATAATTAAATGTCGATCTTTGTAATTTTTTTTAAAACTTATTTTCTGGGAAATTTACCAAGTGGAGCAAAGATGATTCATCTTCCAATTGTTCTAAGAATAACATCATACAACCAATTTCACGTACTTTTGTGTTTTAATACTTTTGGGAGTCGAATGTTTATAAAAACAAAAATAAAACAAAATAAGTTTAATTTTATTTACAATACACATTCACATATTTCAAAATAATTTTAGATTTATTATTCAGTCTTTACATATTAGGCATCTTAGTAATTTTGTGTTTTGATAAATATTTAATCACATTAAAATGCATCTTCTGTTGTAGTCTAGTTGGTTAGGATACTCGGTTCTCGCCCATGTATACTCATTTTTTGTGTGTTTTTGTTTGGTCTATCGATTCATTTGCAAATATTTTTAGATTTATAAAATAAAATAAAGTTGATTATATTTAGATGAACAAGAAATTTAATTTTATCTGGTTCTCACTTCAAAACATGAGAGAATATTGGCATGATGAAATTGGTGCAATGAATAATATGTATCCAGAATTTTTATACAAAAATTTACTATAAAAGAAAAGAAAATAAAATATGTATTCTAAATTTATTTTAGGTATGAACTCTACTGTATACATTAACTTTCTAAGTAAGATTTTGGGCACTTAAACTTTTTTGAAATTACCAATATCTCGATATGTAATTTGTAATATCCTTATTCTGTAGTATGCTAATTGGTCCTTAACATGAATATGATTATGTGTTTGATATGATTTTGTGTGCCATTATGTGAAAATATGTGGTTTTGAATTTCTATCTGTTCACCGTAGAAATATCTGTTGATTATCTGCTTTGGAAATTAAATTGAAGGCCTTATTGGCCATAGAATCCGAAATTGATTGCGCCATTGTGATTAGCGTAATTTTTAGAACCTACGGTAAAATTTGATTAGAAATTGATTCGGATCAGATTAAATTGATTAAATTGATGAATTAGTACCCAATTACTTTATTATTATTATATTGAAATTAGTGGAATTAGTTGTAATAGAGCATTACACCCTCAATTCTCTCTTTAGCTTCATTTGGTTGATTTTGAACTCAAAGAAGAGAGAGGGCCAGCTTTAGAGAGAGAGGGAGAGGATTGTGAAATCTTGGCTCAAGGTTTGGGGAATTTGAAGATTAAACTCAAGAATTTGCTATAGTTTGGAAGATTGAGCTCATAGGTAAGGTAATTCATGAGTTTAATGTTGTAAATTGTGAATTCAAGTTTGATTAATGGTCAAGAATATGAGTTAGATTGATTATGATGAAATTGGGTTAGTTTTGTTGAATTTGAAATCTTAGAACACATGCATGTAAGAAATTGCCATAAATTTTCATGTTTGAGCATAAAGTATGTAATCCGTGTTGAGTTTTGATTAATGACCATGTATTTGATCATCTCTTCACTAATTAAGTTGAGGATATTGTGTATATTTCACATGCAAGTGCAAATCATGGGAGTTTGAGTCTTGCATGTTTGAATCTAGTGTGTTGGTGATGAGTTTGAGTTAATTCGAGACATGCATGTGATTAAATTGTGAAATTGAGCTTCATTGTGTTGTAATTTGGTGTTTACACCATGTTAGAATATGTATATGTGAAGTTTGAGCCAAAATCGTGCATTTGGAACCTTTGAGCATCAAATTGAAGCTCAAGAACATGTTCTGGATTTTCCAGAATTTTGATGTCCGCTCGAGCGGGGAAACCGCCGCTTGAGCGTGAAATTCGTGTTCCCAGTATTTTCTGTAGACATGGTGTCCGCTTGAGCAGGGAAGTTCACACTCAAGCGGGGAGCCATGTAGAGAAGCCTTCCGCTCGAGCGCCAGAGTTCGCGATCGAGCGTAAATTTGACATATCCAGTACTTTTGCAGGCCTCGTGGGTCCACTCGAGCGGGGAAGTCCACGCTCGAGCGGGGACCCTGTTTTCTGAAATTTTGAAAATACATTTTGTGTTCCATTTTCCGTTCTCTTTCGCTTGCAAACACTCTTAGGCATGTATTGAGCATTATAAATGAGTTAAAGAGATAAAAATGAAGCCTAAAGAGGAATATGTGGATTTAAGAACGGATTGAATTGTTTGTGACCCTTTTGTGTTCATGGAATGTGTAGGGTCGAGCTCCAGGGCAAACCAACCAACCGGTCACTGTGAGTAATATCAATATTTTGAAACTTGTCATTTGTCCAATTGCTTATTTCTTTATAAGCCTTATAAGGCCAGTTTGACATAAATGGGTGGGCCAAAGGCCAGTTTGACATAAATGAATGGGCCAGAGGCCAATTTGACATAAATGAATGGGCCAGAGGCTATTTTGACATGAATGAATGAGCCAGAGGCCAGTTTGACATAAATGAATGGGCCAGAGGCCAGTTTGACGTAAATGAATGGGCCAGAGGCCATTTCGACATGAATGAATGAATGGATGGACCAAAGGCCATTTTGACATGAATGAATGGGCCTGAGGCCAGTTTGACATAAATGAATGGGCCTGAGGCCATTTCGACATGAATGAATGAATGGATGGGCCAAAGGCCATTTTGACACGAAAGTTTAAATGGGCCACAGACCAGTCTGACAAATGAAAGATAAATGGGTCAAAGGCCAGTATGCTTGGAACCACAGTCACTTGACCTAAATTATGTATATATATGTTAAATAGAAATATGAATTGGGCCTAAGGCCGTTTGAAACATGTTGTTCTACATATCGTTTGTACTACTTCTGTATTTGATATTATTCACTGGGCTATCGCTCACGCTCATTCATGTGTTTGTAGGTGAGCCCAGAGAAATCCAAACCCAGCCCCAGTGAAGTCTGTGTATGTAGACACCCTATTTTTGACCGTCCTCAAGACTTGGACATCACCGTTTGAACACTCGGTGATCATCCTTGTTTGTGTTCGTCTTGAGTTCCCGAAGGTCTCGGCTACGCGCCTTGCCTCAGGATCTCTCAACTCGACTGTTTTGTGTCTGGTTTTGCACCAAACACTTGTGTTTTTGCTTTGGAGGGCAGGGAATGGCTTGTTGGCCATCCCCACACCTCACCGGCCATGGCTTGAGGCTACCGGCCATTGGTTTGTTACCATCGGCCAAATGTTTGGCCGACCGATACTCTTTGTGGTCGACCGGCCATCTTTTTGGTCAAATAGCATTTTTGGCTGGTCGACCACTGTACATTTGCTTTTGCAGATATTTTTATGCCAGCCGTGCTAGCTGGCATACACTTTGCTCCCCTCCATACATGTATGGAGGGATTTCGCTCTTGCTTAGCTTGTTTTGGAAGCTTTGCAAGAGTGAATCTCTATAAGAGGGAGCCTCTTCTCCCTCCATTAGGGTTACAACATTTTTCCAGAGGGCTCTGATATTAGGGTTAGGGTTTGCATATCCCTCATCTCTATATCTCTCTCTTTTGTGTATAAGTGTGTGTTTGGTCTTATTATTGCACACAAACACCCACCATTACACCTTACCTTGGCTACTGAGGTGCTAGGGAGCTGTTCTTGAAGTTCTTGACTGGTTTTGAACTCAAAGAACCAGCTGGAGCATTGTTTGTGAAGGAGGTCTACAACGGTAACAATCTTACCCCTTTTCTCCCATTTTTGCATAGCTTTTTAACCTATCTTGAAACTATTTTCAGACTTTGTATATAACTAATAAAAGTCCTGTTTTTGAGTGCTTTAAATAGTTGTTTAAGGTCACTTTGTTGTTTGAGGTTGTTTGACCCCTCTTAGGGCTTGTTTGGCCCCGTTTTTGTGCTATTTTGGTGAGCTCCAGGACCACTTTGTTTGGTCCTCCTCACCACTGAAATCTTGAGGGAATTCAGTGGTGAGGATGGTGGTTTAAGGTCTTAAGAAGGAGAGGGCCATCCCCTCTCCTTGTTGTCTTTAATATATGCCATTTAAGCCTCATGTGTGAGCACCATTTTTGAACTCATGTTGGCCATGTTTCAGTAGGTATTTGGTAGTATTTTTCCATGTTTTACCTCTGTTTTTACTTGGTTTAGACACACCATGCATGCCTTGCATACATGTCTTGTAATGCCATGTTTTAGCCTTAACATGCTTTGAGCTTTGAGC